GAGCGGTGGCTAGGTTCACGTCAGAGTACTTGCTCCGTCGTGGCACGACGAGCTTCAAAACGAGAATGCAGGCCATTGTCTATAATCCTAATTTTAAACAAATTTTACCCCCCACTTATTCATGTTTAGAATTGATCTGACCAAACAAATTTTTCTTGACAGTGGTCGATCGCATCGATCGACCGTCCCTTAGGATAATTCATCAAATTCCAGAGATCATAGCCTCTTGAGTGCTTAAGCAGTGAATATTTTTAGTTTTTAAATCTATTGACTATTAGAGGAATTACTCATCAACTTCCTAGTAACTAACGTTGCAATCGTCGCAGCTGTCGTCCAAGTACAATTTTGAAGACATAGTGATTTCTCGTCAATTAAAATTTGCAATAGTTTATTTAAGTCAAAAGGCCGTTACAAATGGGTCAGGGCGAATGTATATCGTGATATAAGCATCTCTCTTCATAAAGTACGCACAAACTAGGATGTATTGAGTCTTACGGTCCGCGACACCTACGAAGAAATCGGTGACGTATCTTTGGACTAATTCGGTTACAATTCGCGAAGCTTTTTGGGGTATATTCGTCAAAATGTCGCCACTGCAACCATACCAACCATATCATCTAAAGCAGGATAAATTGTATAACAGCATGCAAAAAGTTCTTTCAATTGCGAAAATTCCACCTAGTTCTAACACTTTGTCAAATTTGATAATGATTAGGAAGTACAGAAGAAATACTACCTCTGTTATGGAATGATTGCAGGTGGGTCCAGATGGATAACTTCCCAAGCGATGATTGGTACAAAAATTGGTGGCAAAAATCCGCTCATTTCCACGAATATGTTGGTTTTTTCGTGAATTATATCTTCCATCATCCCAAAACCGAAATGACGTTCTCGACCTTGTTTCTTCGCTTCGATCCAGTCTCTGCAGTACAAGGAAATGAGTCGTTCTGTCGACGACGTTATTCGAGCTACTCTTACGGCATTCGAGATGCTGAGCTACGAGATGCTCGAGAACGCTTTTCTCACCTTTCAGGCGGTCATAGGACTTATTCTCGAGCAGGATGGAGGCAGCAACTACTCTCTTCCCCACCCAAAGAAGTCATCCTTGCGGCGCGCTGGTCTGCTGCTGTGGAGTGGTCATTCCACGGCATGATTTTGATTTTTAGCCAGTGAATACATATTCTTTGCTCATGAGCCATTAGAATTCTTTTGTTCACAATAATGTGGAAAAACTGGATTTTGTACTTGTTAACAGTAATGTGGAACAGCGGTTGTAACACGTTGAAAAACGAAGGCATCCGTACAAGATACGATTGCAAATTATGCGATTACTTATACAATTCTTGTCTGATTTCAATGAAATCACCGCATTGATTCGCCGCATCGATTCCCACCCGAATCAGCACGTTCGGTAGGCGGCCAAAGTCACGATCGAACCTTTCGCGCACTTCGAGGACTTTTGCAAAGGTATCGTACAGTCGTCCAACAGAGCCATTGACGTAGGACCATTTCATTTCGATAAGTTGCAGGTCACTGTGATACGGCGGCGTGATAAGGACTAGGTGGCCGCGGTCCGTGGCCATCGCACGGTCACAGGCACAATGTGAGCTGCAATATGGGCCTTTTACTTGGCTCATAATGGTGAACGATGTTCTTCGACGTCCAATTCGATGCCGTAGGTGGCGCATGCTGCAGCATTCTTGCTTTCGTGAACGCTCATGTAGGGATGTCTTCCTGTAGGCCCTGTGGTACTTGGCATTGTCTAGCACAATGATCGTGTTCGATTTTTGTAGAGCAGCGACGTCGTCAAACAAGTGTTGGATCAATGCGACCAAGTAAGCATGGTTAAGCATTGTGTGGTAGAACACGAAGAAGACTTCGTGTTGTTTACCCCCTCCTTCAAATGCTTCGCAGGTCAACAGCTTGGAGTTGTCGCGGCCGTCAGTCATCACGGCTGCCTTGAAGCAGACCTGACGCCTTTTGAATTTAGGTTTGGCGTCAGGTTAGTCGTCAGGATGGTATATATTGTCATTATGACGAGCATTATGTTGATGTATCTAGAATTCATCCAAATAGTTTACCAGCCGAGGCTGCGAGGGCTTAGTTGTCGTGGTCATATTTGGAACATATTTACCTCCAGCAATAGCAACAGCGTCAGTACGTCGAATAAAATGGCTTTGTTTCCTTTGACCACGTCGGAATCCCTTTTCTTACAAGGAATTTCTGCACTAGCCACAACCTCGCGATCACAGCGTTATTGTTTTGAGGGTCGTAATTCACAATACGATACTCATACAATAAACTCGTCACATCATTTGCAACCACTAGTGTGCAAGTTGATCTACTCTTGCGAACAAATGATTGAATCATTGTTAAAAGAACTTTTGTGTCTGGAATACGTGTATTGCGGCTAGATCTATTCGCAGAAACATTGGCAGCAGTCACAGTCTTACAGTGAATCCCGGAAAAAGCCGACATGGTTTCATCCTGATATGCATGGAGGCAGAAAAGAAACACTTCTTTACACCATCCAACCGCCAACAAGATTTTGTATCGGAAGACAAAGTCATAGATTTCAGCAATACAAAACGCACTGCTACATTTTATACTATCAAGTGGACTTGTATTCAAAATGTATTAACGTGTAGAGGTCTATCTATCAACTGATTTAAACTAACGTAGCGAACCATTGATCGGTCACTTTTTGACGGCCAATGAATATATTGAAAAGAGATCTTACTGGACAAAAATACAACCTCCATGAAATTGAGCCTCCAAATCTAAATGGTGGGAAAGTAGGTAAATTTTCCAAGGTTTTTCAAAGTTTGAACTCGTTCATGGCACCGAAAACAGCCTACTCGGCTGATGCCATGGCTAGCGCAGTAAGCGATGTAATCAACAAAACCGACACCATGGTGAACATTGCCAAAAGCTAAGGTATACCATACCGAACCTTGCGAACCCATGTGACTCAAGCTCAACCATGCAACATCCCATCTGAACCTCTTCGCATTGGCAGAAGCCCGTACATCCCAAAGTCGTTCGAACAGGATCTGGTTGCATGGGTCATTCCAATGGAATGTGATGGTAATTCGGTTGGAAGAGGACCAATAATGGCCAAAGCCAACGAGATTCGCAATGTGATCAACGGAAGTCAGTGCGAACCTCCACTGACTCATGGCTGGTATCATCGATTCATGCAGCGCCATCCGGAGTTGTATAAAAAAGTCAAAAGTCCTAAGTTCTGCCCGTAACTCCATCACTCAAGATTGTATTGTCAACTTTTTCCACCAGCTGGTCCATGCTTTGTCATGTGTTGACATGGATCCATCTCGTGTGTTCAACATGGACGAAACCAGTTTCTCTCCGGGGAAGACGTCATCGGTTGTGGTTGCCAGGAAGACAACAAAAAAGGTTTTCGTCACAGAGCCAACTATGTCTTCTCATGTTACCATTGTTGCTTGCGTTGGAGCAGATGGCTCCAAAATCCCGCCGCTGTTTATCCTCCCAGGAGACCGAGTATCGACAGAAGTGTGCGACCAAGTGACCATCCCTGGAGCTGCCGTCACGACGTCGAAGAAGGGATGGACAAATTCGTACATTTGCCACAAGTGGTTGACGATGCTGAGCAATGCTGTTCCCAGCACGGTGAAGCGTCCAATTTTGTTGATTGTGGATGGATACTCGTCGCACTACTCTGACTATATTGTTGAGGTGGCCAATCGTTTGGAGATTTTGCTCCAATTTTTGCCTGCCAACTCGACACACGTTTTTCAACCTTTGGACATCAGTGTGCTTCGACCCTTCAAACGTGCAATCCGCGCCCAGTTACATGCAGACATGGGCGCTTCCTTACTGACCAATGTCACCAAGCAAAATGCGGTGTCAACTACATGCGAAGTTTGGGCTGCTTCAACAAAGCCTGCAATTATGATATCTGGCTTTGTGTCCACTGGACTATGTCCCCCAAGTTTGGAGGCCATGATGCACCGAATGTTCAAACCCCAAGCTGAACATTCAGAAGAAGTTGACTTGTCCTGGCTACGTCGTGAAGAAGCTGTCCGAAAGTCCGTCCTACTTTTGCCTCCATTGAAACGAAAGCGTTCCGAAGGGAAAACAATTACGGTAAGTGGCATGTTTAACACAACCAATTACCATGAACAACTTCAAGAGCAAGCTGCTGCTGCAAAATTGAAGAAGACAAAAACTGCTCCTGGGAATGACACCGAAAACGCAAATTCCTTACCAACAGCCCTTCAAACTGCAGTTGTTTAAACAACCGAAAACATGCACATAAAATGTTTTATTCATGAAATTCCATTAAATCCTAATTTTTGAAATTGCCGCCAAAAGACTTTGCATTTTAGCCTGGGGGTCCCATCCACGAATAATCTTGGATTTCCACTGCACGAGAACACCTTTGCCCCATCACCCCGGCTTATCTCCCCGAATGGTTCATCTAGACCTAGGTCGCCCCGGTGGAAAGCCAGTGCTTGGGATGGCGAAGTGTTTGGCTTGGGACCGCCCCCCTCCTCTCGGAGAGTTTAAGGCGAACACTAGTCTAGTTGGTGGCAAAATATCAAAAATGAGAGATATATTTCACGAAACCTGGTGGCACCATTAAACGCCTGTCTCATTGGTGCCTCGTCCCATTAACGTCTCCTCCCGTGTTTCTAGATTTCCTCAATCACTACTCCCAAAAGTATTACCTCTTCACACTTCATAATTCTCTAATATTTGATAGTTCTGATGAAGGTGCCGATTCAAAATCACCAATTTTGGTATACAAAACCAAGTTAAAAAGTGGCCGATCATTGGTTCGCATTGTTTTTGTCACGAATTCAAAAATTCCCTCCACCACGTAGTACTGTCTAAACTAATTTATTCCCATATCATGTTGAAGACCTTGATCTGGCAGTCACGATGATGTATATATCAGCTCCAACTGAGAATATTCCATGAAGTTATACAGTGTCAAAGTTCGTCAACAAAGTTCCCGATCAATGCTTCGCTACGTTATCACATGCTTCTTCCTCGTCACCGTCGGTGTCGCTCTCAGCAGATGACTCTTCGTCCACATTCATTGTGTCCACTTGCACAAAGTGATCATGCTGCAACTTCAACTTTCCTTGGACAACTTTGATGCATCCCTTCATAGCACCAAATATCAAAGCAGCAAATGCCTCGTCAATCAGCTTGACGTCGGCGAACTTGGTTTCATTGTCATAACGACGGCCAACTTCACCTTTGACAATGGCCCAAACCAACTCAATGGGCTGCAAATCAGAGTGGTGCGGCGGAGTATACACAATAGTATGGCCACGCTTCTTTGCCATGTCAACAACGATCGGATCGATGTGCTTGTGAATATACTGCGACAGCGTCTCCCAGGATGCTCTTGTAGTCAGACTCGTCGAACTCGATGCCAAATCGCACACATTAGTCCTGCAAACGCTTCTTTCGCATTCTGCTTGATGGAGTGTCTGCAGGGCACCCTTTGTGGAATATTGCATTATCCATGACGATCAGTGCGTTGGTCACTTGGAGCTGGTCCATCTCCGAGAGCAATTTCCCAAACTAATCGACAAAGTAGTCGTGGTTAAACATACCGTGGTAGTCCTTGGGCTCCTTGCCTCTTACTTTGCCGCCAGTGAGGATGTCGAGGCCCAGGAGCTTGTTGTCCATGCAATGGACCTTAGCGCCCAATGCCTGTCTATTTATATGCTTATTTTTGTATGGAGTTTCTAATAGTTCAGTAAGATATTTTAAACTCCCTAGCTTAATGAGTGATCTACCCCCAAAAAGATTTTAAACGCTCTACTTCAATAGATTTCGCGGAAAACCAGCTATCTCTGAGTTTGATTGGCCTTTCACCCCTAATCACAAATCATCCCCGTGAATTCATGACTGCCGAGGCCTGGATTCCCGCAATAAAGCAATACCCTTGTGCTTCTCCTTCGTGGCATCGTCAAGGGCGTCGTTTGGGTCGTAGAGGCTATCATTATGGCAATTGTAGTAGTGGTGAATGAATGATTCGTCCGTGTACACAACCGGTGGCGGCATCATCGACACAGCATGCGACAGCATTCACCGTACGTACTCGTCATGGAGTAGGGCGTTCTTTGTGGACAAGTGATACGACGTACAACCCTTCTTCTTGCCACGCTTGTAGCCAAGGCGCTGCAGAAAGCGCTGTACTGCACGGAGAGCGGACGCCTCGTGGGTTTTGTTGGCTATGTAGAACTCCAAGACAAACATTTCGCGCAAGTACACCATCACGTCGACAGCAGTGGTACGGGTGCGGGTGACACATCTGTCGCGTACGAACTGCTGTACCATTGCAATTGTGTCGTTATTGAGAGGCCCCTGGCCGTGTGGTTACTGCGATTCGCTGCAGGTGTCGCTGCAGTCACTGTTCCGAGTGTGTTGTATTCACGAAGAATAGCCTTGACCACATCATGACTGTGGCCGAGAGTTGTGGCGACCCTTTGGGACACCTCACTGGAGCCTTCTCCAACAAAATATGCGTGAAGGCGAAGAATGTCACGTCGCTCTTCCCGAGTGAGTGTTCGATGACAAGCTTTCTTGGCGTAGTCGATGCATGCTTGAGCAGACAGGTTTATGGTGCTTGGGTTAATGATGCGGTGGTTTCACCATCGCTGGCTAAGTATATCTTTCTCAGCAGTGTATTAATTCACACAGGATGGTCCAGTATCACGAACGAAAGAACCTGTATAAACGTATATCCAAAATCGCGACATTGTTTATTAAAATCGCGATATAGTTTTAATGGATTAAGTTTCAAATTGGTACACTCTCAATCTGATTCTTAAAGATTACTCAAAGGATATTGTGTTCTACAGGGACCATGTTATACAGAGTGAATTGTCTTGAAATTTCCTATCGAACATACTAAACAGCATATTAAACAGATTTCAATTGATCTACCGTAGTTGATTTGTTGAATGGGAACTTCTGTGACATGTGGTGACATAAAGTTTCAAAAACCCTCTAGAATGTTGTTGAATAGCAACGAAATAGATTGATGAATCAAAGAGTATACTGCACATTACAGTTACGTTTTAATAGAAGTCTAAAAACTTGCCTATTTGGCCTCATACAGTTTAGAAGTCTATGAAATTGCACAATGAAATAGAATGGAATCAGAATCATTGAAATAAATTCAACTGAATCATCATGAATCGTCTAAAAGCAGATTGAAGAAGAAATATATGAGTCATTTTCCGATTTCCCCTCAGCCCCACATCCGGATAATTTTACGGATACCACCCGTGAAGTTCGTCAAGCACATCGGATCCTTCGACGTCGTGGTTCAGGCAATCCGCATCTTAAGGGGAGTCAATGACTTTGCACTTTCGAAACCCAATCACAATTGTTGTGCGCGGTAGGTTCTCCCACGCCGTGTTGACCCACTCCACTGGCTCCCGGAAAGTACTTGTCAATGGCGTAGTTCGGTGAGTGATCTCGGGCAACGTTGATGATGCAAAGCTTGTGTACGACTGTGTATAGCGATTTCTTGTATGTTATGGCAATGCGTTTAGTGTTCTTGATCGATGGGCATCCTCTTGCCTTGCTATCCCCAATGCGCGCCATGGCGTGCGCAGATATCCCGCCCAAAGTAATCTAAATACTCGCTTAAATTCAATAGAATTAAACGCCAAAGGTATTTCAACATACCAAGGTACTTGTAAAAATATATACTCTGGGGTAGACTACAGATATACTTTTATGGAGGTTTCTTGAGTTCCCATTCAACAAATCAACTATGATATTTATTGACCTTTGGCGGTTCGATGCTGTCGGGGACTGTTAATTACGAAAGTTCTACTTGATTGGCTATAATAAGGAGAATTTCTGTCAGTCAATTATAGTTCTGATGGTATCTTCACTGCAATTGGTCAAAAGGAATGACATTTCTGACTTGGTATTGAATTATTCAAGTGCTTTGAAACTGATCATGTTTTGGGAGGTGGTCGGCTTTTCCGGGGTTCACTGTATCTTTGTGGCATTCAGGCCATAAGTCCTTTGTAGCATGAAGGCTTCGACCTACCAGCTGTGCAATCTGCTCTGCAACACCTACAGCATTGCTACGTCGTAGATGTGCATGGATGCGAAGTATCAAGTGACGTTCGTCTCTCGATAACCTGCGTGTTCGCTCACAATTCATTGCAGACAGTGTTGAAGAATGAAGGCGATAATGGCAATCATGCACACATAATCCGAAAGCTGACCAATGAAATGAAGGATGAACGTATCAGATTACAAGTAGAATAAACTCCGTCAAGGTGTTTATGACACTGAGAACATATCTAACTGTAAAATTTACGAGGAGTATTCTGTTTGAGGAAGGTGAACAAGTCCATTGTATTCGGAAGAATACGCTGAGCAAGACAACAATTCTTTATATACGAATTCATCCACCATCATTTGAAAAGATATTACGAAGCAGGATTTCATTATTTAAAGAGCATAAAAATCTACAGGCTCCATCCATTGGCTGTCAAGTACAAGACCTGAAGTATCAGGCTCAAAAATCCACATTGAATACCAACCATCCGGCCGCCGTTTACTGGGACTTTCATTCAACCATTCAAATAAAATTACACCACATACTTAAACCCAATCATTTTCGAATTTCCCGCCATGGAGAATCCATTGCAACGCTCCCACCGCGAATTGTCGAGCTCTGAGAAGGTGACTGTCATCCCGAACCTCCAGCCATTCCTCAAGAGGGACAGAATGGCACGCGGGGCATACAAAACCGTTGCACAAGAACTGTCCCTCCACCGCCGTACCGTCGCCTACATATGGCGCAAGTTCTGCACGCGCGGCACAACCACGTCGAACAAAGTCGGCAAGGTCGGACCCAAGCCCAAGTTTTCTGCTGCCGCCGTCCACCAGCTCGTTCAGGCCGTGCCTGCCGATCAACGTTCAACCTTCCGTGACCTGGCCGCAGCAACTGGACTGTCTAATGGCACCCTCCTTCGCCACCTAAGAAAGGGAACGATCCAACGTCGTTCCACATGCATCAAGCCCCTCCTCATACACTTTCAAAAAAAATATAAAAAATAAGTAAATCTCACTGTGCAAAACATGGCGCAATGTGTCCAATTTTGCCGCTCGCTAGCGCCCGTTGAATTCGACAACCTATGGGACGTCGTCCATCTCGATGAGAAATGGTTCAATGCAGACAAAGACCGTCGAAAGGTGTACCTTGTGCCCGGCGAGATGCTGCCGCAGCGATCCTGGAAGAGCAAGCACTTCATCCCGAAGGTTATGTTTCTTTGTGCCGTCGCTTGTCCATGTTATGACGAAACCCGTGCCGGCATCTTTGACAGAAAGGGGGGCATTTGGCCGTTTACTGAGCAAACGCCTGCAGTCAGGAACTCTCGGAACCTCCCAGCCGGCTCAATAGTCACCTCGTTGGTGAATGTTAATGCTGACGTCTATCAGGACTACGTTCTGAACAAGGTCGTACCTGCGATCAAGGCTTCGTTCCCAAGTGCGCACAAACGTATTGTCTTGCAGCACGACAATGCGACGCCGCATGGGAGCATCACCGACGCGGTGCTGCAGAGAATGTCGACGGATGGCTGGACCTTCGTCATGCGCCAGCAGCCTCCCAACAGTCCCGACTTAAATGTTTTGGATCTGGGCATTTTTGCCTCGATCCAGTCCCTTCAATACAAGGGGATGAGTCGGACGGTGGACGATGTGGTGCGCAATACCTTGGATGCTTACAACGAGCTGAGCTATGAGAAGCTCGAAAG